TCAATCCATTACTGTGACAAGTAGCTACATGATTGCCCAGTTCTTCCATTGATACTGGTAGAGTGGCTGGTATTAATGGGTCAAAGAATGGTTCATTATAAATGTGATGTGGGGAGAGTTTGAGTGCTTCAATATCAGTGTATGTTGGTTCATATAATGACAACTGCTGCTGTACTGGAACCTCTTCTGTCTCTTTCTTATTAACAGCAGCATATTCTATTAAATGGTGATTATTAGTTGATCATATGTACATTGTCTAGTATTACCTGGTTCAACTGTTACTGAAGTATCTTTATTGGTACTGTTATCATCCATAACAGATAAATCAGTATACTTATTGTCTATAAAGTAGTGTGGAATTACTATCATATTAATAAACAATTACCTTCTTTTATAATATCATTTGTCAGTGCTGTTAGTGGAAGTTCCAATGGTTGTTTATCAAATTTACTGTATCTATAAATAATAAATAATAATGACAACAAAAACAACAACTGTAAACAAACCTTTTCTTTCTTTGTATTATAACAGTAATTATTAAAAGTGTTATTATTACTATTATTATTATTATCAGTATTATTCCTATTACTCCTCCAATAACAGATACTAAAACACATTAATAATTAATCAATTAAAGAGTTATTATACTTTGATTAGATGGTGGCTCTGATAACACTAAATTGATATAAATAAATTAACACAATTCAAAGTATACAATACCTGATGATGACATTGATATTGATTTTGTTGCTGATTCAGTTGCTGTTGAAGATGGTGAAACTGATAATACTGTACTTGCATATGCTGATGATGATACTAAACAATAATAAGTATTTTATACAGACAGCATACCTTTTTCAATCTCTACTTCAATAGGATCACTGAAGGGACCACTTCCAAAAGAATTGACAGCAGCTACACTGATGTTATACTCAGTACCAAATACTAGATCATTCAATATGATATATCTCTCAGTACTGGTGAGGTTGTATGTGATACTACTGTTACTGATAATCACTGTATAGCCTGTGATTAGACCATTACGCTCAGAACAATCAACCTCATTCCAAGTGAGATTATTATTAGCTGGTATAAAAGTTACATTATCAGGTATATCAGTAGGAGCTATATATGCAGAAAATATCACATAAAAGTTCAAGCTATATGCATATACCTTTTATTGGCATTGTATCTTGTTCAATTAAAGTAAGGTCAGATCCTCCTAGTACATTACCAGCTCTCACTGTGATGGTATAGTTCATACCACTGTACAGATCTATTAATGTATAACTGTATGTTGTAGTGGACTGATGAGGAGCAACAGAGACTGTCTCATTCACTGATGAGAACTGGGGACAAGATGGAGTATAGGAGATAGTGTAGTATGTTACATAGTTGTCACTACTGGGAATAGTCCAGTTCACTGTAATATCAGTGGTTGAGGCATTAGATACTGAGAGACTAGTTACTGGACTAGGAGCTAGAACAGATATTAATGACACTCTCTCAATGATAACAACTCACCATCAAATCTTAACACTGTTACTGTACTATTAACTGAAGGAAGATCTATATATGAGTACACACTGATGGTATAGGTACTCATTGGTGAGAGATCTGTTAGTACAATTTCACCTTCACTGGTAGATACTACATTCCTGGTTACACCTCCAGTAGTATACTCAATCACATATCCTTTAGCCTCTGATGAATTGGTCCAGTTCACTTTGATACTAGTAGCATTTAATATAAACCCTCTCACATTATTTGGAGGACCACTAGGAGCTATAAAAGAGACAAAGGTATCTACTATTGATTAAAGTATAATCATACCATGTAATATCACAGATTGACTGTAGTTGACTCCTCCAATCATTGCTATACAGGTAACATTAACTGACACTCCCAGTGGATCAGGATATACCAGTAGTGTGTTGTTGTATGTCAGGACATCAATTGATGAATAGTTTGAGTTACTCTTCATCACTCCATTCACTAACCAGTAAACATCAGTTGAAGGATTTATATCAGTAGTTGTGAGACAATCAATATGATATTGAGTGTTATTGAGTTGTGTAATGGATGAGACTAGTGTCCAACTGATTGAACTAATAACTAGAAATAAATCAACAATGTTAATAGTACATTAAAAGGTCCAGTAACAATACCTGGTAAGGTCTGTACACTGATTGTACTAGCAGGTCCCAGTAATTGTTGATAGGCTCTGACTGTGATGCTATAAGTTGTTAGTTCTCTCAGTCCATTCAGTGTGATTGTATTATTACTACTTCCTTCCACCTGTACTGTCTGCACAGTGTCTGTGTCACTAGTGACATTGACTACATATCCATCAGCATCAGATGAATCAAGTGCAGTCCAACTGACAGTGATAGTGGTAGCTGTCTTGCTGACCTCAGTAAGAGAAGAGGGAGCAGTTGCTGGAACTAAATGAATATAAGTAATACAAATGTATTATACAAATTTATTAATTATTACCTTTTACTCTTACAGTTTGAACACTGGATATTTCCCCAATAATGATTTCACATTGATACTCATGATTGCCATTTATATATAATGATTGTTTAAATGAACTTGAACTATTACTAAATGCAACAGCATCCCAAGTGAGGCTAACAGAATGAAGATATGCGTGATTATTCATATCTTCAAGTAATGCTCTATTCCCTACATTACAGTTTGTCATCATGTTGCTACAATTGACAGCACTAGCATTAGCTATTACTGTAGTTCCATGTTTAAAATACAAGCTATAGTTAAAGTGTTCAGTTCCAATTTTAACACAGTTCAATGTAAACTGCTGAGGAAATACAGTCATATCAGTTACTAGCTCAAATGTGAATGATGATATCTCAATGGACCCTACACACGTAATAATAATGATCATATAGTATTAATAATTATACTTACTGAATATATTAGCAAATATAGTGTTAGTATTAGTATCTGAACAATCAGTGGGTAGACAGCACTTGTAAAGTCCTTCATTGTTTGTTGAAAAATTAGTATCATCAGGTAAGTATAGACTGAGAGTAGCATCAGGTGAAGTGACATTAGTACAAAGGAATGGATCAGTCTCACTACTGGTATCACAATTAATGGAAGTGTTTCTTTTTACTTGAACCCATTTACCACTGATGAGGTTAGTGTTAGAAAGTATACACTTCAGTTTAGTGGTATTAGTGATGTTTGTATTCCAGAAATAAGAACCATTAGAATAACACTGTTCATTGTGAAGCAAATACAAACCTATATGATAGAATAACAAAGTTTATTGTGCAGTTCATCTAATGATTTACCAGAACAATCAGTTAATACACTGATTCTACTACTAGCAGGTCCCAGTAATTGTTGATAGGCTCTAACTGTGATGCTATAAGTTGTATTCACTTCCAACTCCTCTATTGTTAATGTATTATTACTACTTCCCTCCACCTGTACTGTCTGCACAGTGTCTATGTTACTAGTGACATTGACTACATATCCATCAGCATCAGATGAATTAAGTGCAGTCCAACTGACAGTGATAGTGGTAGCTGTCTTGCTGACCTCAGTAAGAGAAGAGGGAGCAGTTGCTGGAACTAATAGTCATGGAAATATAGCTGGTAATATGTATAATGTTTATACATTACCTTTTATGGTTAAAGTATGTGTTCTATCATCACCACCACTAGGATTATCTAGAAAACACTGGTACACTTGATCTCCAGTGGTTGAATGACTGTTTGATCCACTACTGACAGTCATTCCATCCCATGTGATATCAACAGTATATCTTATTGTGTTGGTACTACTAACTAACACAGTACCAGGGCAAAGATTATTATATCGATCATCACAATTAGTGTAACTAGCCAGTGCAGTATTACCAATGCTCATGTTAATACTACCATACTGATAATATCCAATTTTAGTGCAATTCAGTTTGTATTCCTGAGGATATACTGTCATATCAGAAGGAAGATCAGCAACAGTAAATGACTCTATCTCTGCAAATTCTACAAATGAAAATTATTACACCAATAAGTGATTATAGTCTCCTCTTACTGAATATATTAGCAAAGATGCTGTTAGTGTTAGGATCTGAACAATCAGTGGGTAAACAACACTTGTACCAGCCTTCTTGAGCTGCTGATAGTCCCTGAGCAAGATAAAGACTGAGGGTAGCATCAAGTGAAGTGACATTAGTACAATGAAAAGGATCACTGGTACTATTACTGTTACAGTCAACAGGATCATCAGGATCAGCAACTCTAACCCACTGACCAGTAGTTAGATTAGTACCAGGTAACACACATGATATAGCTTCAGTAACTGCATCAACACTTCTATCCCGAAAATATGATCTATTAGAATGACAGTTTCCATTATGTGCTAAATAGATGCCTGAAAATTAGTATAATTACATTTGTACTAATTCAAATCAAAATACCTTCTTGTTGACAATGAGTGAAGACTCTGATTGCATTAGCAGGTCCCAGTAATTGTTGATAGGCTCTGACTGTGATGTTATAAGTTGTTCCTTCTCTCAGTCCACTCAGTGTGATTGTATTATTACTACTTCCCTCCACCTGTACTGTCTGCACAGTGTCTGTGTCACTAGTGACATTGACTACATATCCATCAGCATCAGATGAATCAAGTGCAGTCCAACTGACAGTGATAGTGGTAGCTGTCTTGTTGACCTCAGTAAGAGAAGAGGGAGCAGTTGCTGGAACTAATGAAAGCAAATAATTGATCGATTATAAACAGACTTCATTAGTATTACCTTTTACTTTTACAGTTTGAAAATTTGAATTAACCCCAAAAATAATTTCACACTGATACTCATGATCATCATTGGATAATTTATTAAATGAACTTGAACTATTACTAACTGCAACAGTGTCCCAAGTGAGGCTAACAGAATGAAGATGTGCATTACTGTTCATGTCCTCTATTGTTCTATTTCCTATAGTACAGTTTACCCTCCCATAGCAGTCAATAGCATTAGCTATTACTGTAGTTCCATGTTTAAAATACAAGCTATAGTTAAAGTGTTCAGTTCCAATTTTAACACAGTTCAATGTAAACTGCTGAGGAAATACAGTCATATCAGTAACTAGCTCAAATGTGAATGATGATATCTCAATGGACCCTATACACACATGAGTAAGAATCATACAGTATTAATAATTACTACTTACTCAATATATTAGCAAATATGGTGCTAGTGTTAGTATCTGAACAATCAGTGGGTAGACAGCACTTGTAAAGTCCTTCATTGTTTGTTGAGAAATTACTATTATTAGGTAAGTATAGACTGAGAGTAGCATCAGGTGAAGTGACATTAGTATAAAGGAATGGATCAGTCTCACTACTGGTATCACAATTAATGGAAGTGTTTCTTTTTACTTGAACCCATTTACCACTGATGAGGTTAGTGTTAGAAAGTATACACTTCAATTTAGTGCTATTAGTGATGTTTGTATTCCAAAAATAAGAACCATTAGAATAACACTGTTCATTGTGAAGCAAATACAAACCTATTATGATAAAATAACATACATTTATTGAATATCATTTAACAAGTTACCAAAACAATTAGTTAATACACTGATTCTACTACT